ATGTTTTGGACTCCAAGTTCCATTATCCCTGGTCCTTGGCCATGCTGGCTGCAGCTGATGAGAGTTGGGAGTTCAAAAACATTTGAAGGGCTGTAGGGTAGCCACCCCTGGTATAAGGCTTTGATTTTACCCATATTTATTCAATAACAGTGCTTCCGTGTAACTTTGGCAAATATAAACCAGCACTGAATATTTCATTCAGGTTCTCCTTCCTCCTCTGACATGGCCACAATGAGATCAGAAGCATTTGTTTTGTTTTAAACTAATTGCACTTTGTTGTGCTCCCACCTTCCCAATGCTGTGCATCACTGCCACTTACCAAGAGGGGGTGTGGCAAGGCAGCGAAAGCTCAATACAGTACAGATGCCATGTGGGCACAGTACTGAGAATGTCAGATGCCTCTGGGAGCAGTAGGGACACAAAGCATGGGAAGGCAGGGGAACAATGCAACCTCAATGGCTGCTACCAATGAGATGAGATAAACCTATCACTTTAAATTGAGCATGAAAAGAAGTAAGCAGAACTGGTGTACCATGATCACATCTGGTTATGTCCATTAGTGTTCCAGCATCTGCATTCTGCCCTGGTTGAAACTTCTAGGCCATCTTCAGGAGCAGCTGCATATACTGTAATCCATTTGGAAGGGACACACATCCTAATATGTGTACAGTCCATGTGCTTGAAGACCGGACCAGCTGTTAGCAAGACAAAGTTAAGACAAGGTCAGCTCTGTCCAGCAGCAGAGTGATGTAATTTGTTTCAGGCAACAGGCACCACATAATTTGGGGGTGAGGGGACTGGTGTCTGGTTGGTTAAGCAAGGCCTTTTAAACCGTTTGCTATAGTTGGGAGGAGGTCATGGACCAGGGCAGGATTAAAGGAATAGAGTAGGCGGCCTTCTGTCTTTTCTGACTGACTTCTCTCCCTTCAGCAGTGATTTTTCCTAGAGAGAAAAGATACAACCTTGGAAGCAAACATGACTTCACACTGCTCGATTCCAAGCGCACCTAGAGTTGTTTTCTTCTAGCCCAGAGTTTTAAAGGTTGGTTAACAAATTGGGTTTTGAAATCATAGGTCCACTGAAAATAGTAATAATAATAATAATAATAATAAATAATAATAATAATAATAATAATAATAATAATTTATTTATACCCTGCCCTCCCCGGCCAGAGCCAGGCTCAGGGCAGCTAACACCAGTAAAATTACAATAAAGGCATAATGGGGGGGGGGGGACCAATTTAAAATACAGGTTAAAATACAATTTAAAAAGCAGTCTCATTTTAATAATAGCCCATAGATCAAACCATAAGGGGAGGGAAACATAAGGGTCAGACTGAGTCCAAACCAAAGGCCAGGCGGAACAGCTCTGTCTTGCAGGCCCTGCGGAAAGATGTCAGGTCCCGCAGGGCCCTAGTCTCTTGTGACAGAGCGTTCCACCAAGTCGGGGCCAGTACTGAAAAGGCCCTGGCCCTAGTTGAGACCAATCTAACCACCTTGTGACTTGAGACCTCCAAAATGTTGTCATTTGTGGACCTTAAGGTCCTCCACGGGGCATACCAGGAGAGGCGGTCCCATAGGTACATGGGTCCTAGTTCAATAAATGTAAGGCTGACGTACCAGAACAATATATGACTGCCCTGCCCCCGAGACCACACACCCTGAATGAAGATTTCACATAGCATGGGGTGTGTATGCAAGACAAATTAACCACATTGATCCAATGAAATACATTCACTTTAAATGGGCAGGTGAAAACTTCTTCCAACTCAATGGCAACACAACTCTCAAGATCCCTGGGCGTGTGCTGCAACCTTGCACTGCAGCTTCCTTGCTAAGGATGGGGGGTGGGGGGTGGAATTCACTCCTTGCCAGGAAAGCCTTGAGTATGGTGTTCCACAAGCACCCCTGGGCCCTACTGCTCACTTTAATGTGCATGCCAGGCCTCAAGCCCCACCTGCCCAAGCCATACTGCACCAGCAGATGTCTGAAGGGTGCTCCTAAGAAGGGTGCCCCATACCCAATACCACCTCATTAAACCTAGGGTTTTTTCTCCCTCTGCTTCAGCAGCTGCCCAGACTCAGTGCCAAACTGGCAAGCAAGCTGTACCTCTCCCTGAGCGCCAACCAAATTAGCTCAACAGGGTGAAAAAGGTGAAAAAGCAGAGGCCCTAAAGCAGGGTGCCCACCCAAAAAATCCTCCTTGGCCTCAGGAGACTGGCAACTAGTCCATAACACTCACACTGCTGCAATTCTCAACTCTATGAAGCTGCAGAGTGCAGATGCAGAGACACAGGTGGAATCTACACACATATAAAAACTGTTCTGAAAATGCTTTTTTAAAGCGTTTTTTTTAAAAAAAATACATTGAATTTTCCATCACCATCTAGTGTCACATTGTGTTTTGCACTTAAAACACACTTAAAATGTTTTATTTGCAGCTGTATAGCTGAGTCCACGGTAGCAATGCATTCTCTTCTGTGTCAAATAACGCTTCATGTGAGAAGCACATCTTCATAGAATGCCATAGGGGCAGCTTCTGGCCACATCAGAAGTATTAGGTGAATGTGTTTGACTTTTTACATGTATCTTTTTTTTTTCCCCTCCCCACCCCTCCTTTTGTTTCTACAATGGTTATATAAGCTTTTATTTTGTTCCTTAGGTGGGTTTTGGGTAGTAACAATGCATTTATTTATTTAAAGATAAGTAAGCTGAAATGGCAGACTTTGTAGACCCAATGTAATTAGGAAAGAGAGAGACATTCACTCTCTGGTTTTAATCAATTTTGGTTTAAGAGAAATGATAAAATTCCATTAATGAAATATCAACATTTTGAGCAATTGCCATTTTGTTTCATTTTTTGAACAAAAAAATGGCCATATATATATAGTTTGTGTTTGCCAAACGATCTTCATATTTCTCTTTCCATACATGGAAGACATTTTCTATTGCTTTCTAAAGATTTGTATAGATTTATTTCACTGCAGCATACAAAACCAGGCATTCATTTCTTAGAATGCATTAACTGCAGCACAGTGATTGCTTTTCATCTTCAATAATTTCACTGCTTTGTATAGTCCTAGTCTTATCAAGTAGAATAACTAATTGAGTTGTCATACAGTCCTGAATACAGAATGAAAACTTCTTTCTACCTGCTTTTTACCACGTAGACCATTGTTTTGTCTTATGCTTTAGGCTTTGCAATTTTAAAACTAAATGTGGCTATTTAATGTTTTAACTAATCCTGTTATTACGGTAACTGAAATACAGTCTGAATTGGTTTTGACCAATCTGGTGGTTTTGACCTATAAAGCCTTAAATGGCTAAAGACTGCAATACATCAAGGACTGCCTCTTTCCATATGAACCTACCTGGACTCTGAGATCATCTTCTTGAGAGGTCCGGATGGTGGCAACACAAGAACTGGCCTTTTCTGCAGTGGCTTCCCGTCTGTGGAATGCTCTCCCCAGGGAAGTTTGCCTGACACCTTCATTATACACCTTTTGGTGTCAGGCAAAAATGTTTCTTTTTAACCAGGCCTTTGGTTGATTTGATTGACATCCTATGCCCTTTTAAAATGTGGGGTTTTTTTGGGGGGGGTTATTGGGTTGGGACGCGGGTGGCGCTGCGGGTAAAACCTCAACGCCTAGGACTTGCCGATCGCATGGTCAGCGGTTCGAATCCCCGTGGCGGGGTGCACTCCCGTCGTTCGGTCCCAGCGCCTGCCAACCTAGCAGTTCGAAAGCACCCCCGGGTGCAAGTAGATAAATAGGGACCACTTACCAGCGGGAAGGTAAATGGCGTTCCGTGTGCTGCGCTGGTTCGCCAGATGCAGCTTGTCACGCTGGCCACATGACCCGGAAGTGTCTGTGGACAGCGCTGGCTCCCGGCCTCTAGAGGGCGATGAGCGCACAACCCTGGAGTCTGTCAAGACTGGCCCGTACGGGCAGGGGTACCTTTACCTTTACCTATTGGGTTGTTGTTTTTATTTTGATTATATATTTTGTGATTTTATATTTTGTTTTTGTTCTGTGAACCACCCTGAGACCCCCAAGTATAGGGCGGTATATAAATTCAATAAAAAATTAAAATTAATAAAAATGATTGTTCAGTCATAAAAGACCCTCTTCATACTTACTTGCAGTGTAAAAATATTAAATAACTTACACTGGTAATTTAGGCAATTAAATTGATTTGGAATACCTGGAGGTTGTTCCAAATGGTCTGGACAATTATCTCAATACCTTATGTCCATGTATTTTATGTCCATGTATAATATACTCGGAGTGAAGAGTGGATTTCATGCTCTTTATTCAGCTCATAGTGGTGAGGAGGAATGGAAGTTTCCCAAGAACGTCTGCTTTATATACATTATTTGCACAATGGGCCCCACGTGATTGGCTAATTCCGGGATTCTCCTGTAGGCCAATCAGGTCACGGATTCACTTCCACCTGGAGCTGGATTGGGTGGCTCCTGTGGACCAATCAGACTGCTGCATTCTGGAGCCTATTGTTCTAGGTCCAATCAGACTGCTGCATTTTGGATCCTATTCAACTCAGTACATAACACTTTATGTGAAGGGGGGGGGGGGAGAGAACTATCAGAGCCTAGGTGTGCCAGTTTTTAACAAAGCTAGTCAAAGGAGAGAAATGACAGCAGGGTGCAGAAACTCTTACACAAACCCATTTGGGGTTTTAAAATCTCTAACCGTGTTGGTGATGCTCACTGGTTTGGGTCCAGATACAGCTTTGACGACTTTCATGCTCATTTCAAACAGACCACTATGAGCATTAGGTGCCCTGAATTGTTTTCAGCAGAGACTTTATGACTTGCACACACACACACACACACACACACACACACATTACTTACTGTAGCAAGGATCACAGTACTGGTAGCACTCCAGGCATGAGAGGAGTGAAGAAAGAAGATCTGAACTTCTTTTCCCACACTCTCCAGTGTTCTGATGACACTCCAGGAAGGGAGGACACAGTGGCCTTGGGAAGATGTGGCTTTAACATGGGCCAATGGAGAAGAGCTTCTGTCTTGTGTGCAGAAGGTCCCGGTTCAATCCCTGACATCTCCAGGTAGGGCTGAGACAGCCCTGAAGAGCTGCACCAGTCAGTGTAGACAATACAGAGCAAGATGAACCAGTGGTCTGATTCAGCAGCTTCCTAGGCTATGGCTTGCTATATGAGTAAAAAGGTAAAGGACCCCTGGACACTTAAGTCCAGTCAAAGGCAACTATGGGGTGTGGCGTTCATCTTGCTTTCAGGCGGAGGGAGCCGACGTTTGTCCACAGACAGCTTTCCAGGTCACGTGGCCAGCATGACTAAATGACTTCTGGTGCAATGGGACACCGTGATGGAAACCAGAGCACACACAAATGTCACTTACCTTCCTACCTATTTATCTACCTCCACTGGCATGCTTTTTAAATTCTAGGTTGGCAGGAGCTGGGACCGAGCAACGGGAGCTCACCCCATTGCAGGGATTTGAACCACCGACCTTCTGATCGGCAAGCCCAAGAAGCTCAGTGGTTTAGACCACAGTACCATCTGCGTCCATTTTGCTATATGAGTGTTCTTGGGTGGATGGGGAAAGGTGGAGGGCTGACTGGTTTACAGCCATTTCTCCTAAAAGCAAAACAAGATATTCCGTGGAGTTTCTGCAGCTATCCAAGAACACAGGCAGAATAGCAGAAACCGTGTTTTGTAGATCTCTGAACCTGATCAATGCAGCAATGTTTAGGTACCTAGTGAAATGAATCTGAAACCTTGTGTTCACTACAATCGTACCCATCCTATGAGAATTCTCTCCAGGCTTCTGCCTTTCCAGGTTGGTGGGGTGGGGAGAGCAGACGCGTTCTCATTAAGTGCCTGGTTGGCCAGTTCTTTGCTGCAAGAAAGGCAGAGGCGCAGGGAATATCATGAGAGTAAAGCTTTGTTGTTCTGAATACCACTGTAATATCTGTATTGTTGGATACATTTTGGTGTGTAATGAGCTCATTCCCAGTGCTAAATCACCCCAAATGGTTCTCACGCTGTCCAAGTTAGTTCATGTGCTGGGCAGGAGAGTTAATTAATCTTTTGGCAGAAAGAATAGCCGTTTTTATTGTCCATAGTGCTGCAATGCATCAATTTAATGGCTATAGAAGACTATTTTGCCGTACATATGTCTCTGAGACACTGAGGATATTTCAGCAATGCACTAGCCTCTTTGTTCATCCTCTGGCACTTTGGAAAAGCTTTCTTTCTGTCAGTGTCAAAATCTTGCAGCCAAATACTACCTTGTTTCCTCTCTAGAGAAAAATTGCAACATTTCAGTTTGTAAGCACAAAACCCTTTATGCGAGAGCGCCTGAAAACAGTCCAGGAAGAAAATTTGGATTTGTGTTACTGCCCGACGAATCAGCTACTCAGCTACCGCTATTCAGGATGAGCTTCAAATTTTGCTGGTTGACTTTGTATTTACAATACTATTATTTATTATTGAAGACACAGGGCTTCCAAAATACAGCATCACTTCCAAACAACGAATGCTGGACATCTTTTCCCTATTTGAGGAGATAGCTAAGTGTCCATGGGCATTTTCAAAAATGGGCATCTGTACTCAGAAGCGAGAGGGAAAGTGTGTGTGCTTAAAAGCTGTTGTAATGTTTCCCCTATGAATGCTGCCCAGGAAAAGACACCAGCTATGAATAACAAAGACTCCACCTCCTCCATTCCAGATGCTTGCTTCCTCAACTAACCATCCTGGCATATAATCCCCCCCTTCAGTATTAAAATAGATATATTAGTATAAAATACTAGGTTTTCTTAAACCCATTTTTTTAATAAGAGAGAGAGAGAGAGAGAAATACTACCATGGTATTTATTCTGTGATGCCTTATTTGCATGGTAAACCTCTAGCCTGTGGTTCAACCTCTTTTGCATTGTACGTTAAATTTACAGAAGAAATCGGAACAATCTCTTTTCAGTGTTGAAAACTTGTGCGTGCCCCACAGAGGAGAAATGGGTTCTAAGGATTTATTTCTAGTTAAGCCCTCATTGTATTGTAACCATTCATACTGGAGATTGGATATAATACTGGGAATTGAATATTGAGCCCTCAGATATAAAAATATGCATATTGAGCATACTTGGAAGAAAGGGGTTGCTAGGTGAACATAAAGGGTAGAGCTGCCCAGGTTGCCTTCTGAAAAGAGTAGCCTTAGACACAGGATGGGTCACAAAAGAATACAAGGCTCTTAATATGGGACAGTAATATGTAGCAGGGCATTGTTGTGATTGTGGATTGTGCATTTGCACATCCAAGAGTTTTATAACATAGGGCACTTATTTTTTAGGGTATTCTGTTTTCCAAGTCAACAGAGCATGGCAATTAGCCTTTGGCAGTCAAGCAGTTTTGTCATAGTTGCCAATTTCAAGTGGTCATGGTATGCTGAGAGATGTTGTGGGGGCGCAGAGATGAAATGGAGGTGAGCAAACAACAGAAGACCCAAAGATGTTACAATGTAGTGTGCCGGCAGGTTTATGTGGAACATCTCCAACTCCTCAAAAGTGTGTCTCCGAAAAAATTTACACATCACTTGGGAAGACAGGCGAACTAATATCATTGTACTGGAAGAAGCAAAGATCACCAGTGTTGAAGCAACGATTCTTCAACATCAACTTTGTTGGACTGGTCATGTTGTGCTTGATGACCGTCTTCCAAAGCAACTACTCTATTCCGAACTTAAAAATTGAAAGCGTAATGATGGCGGTTAACAAAAGAGCTTTAAAGACTGTCTCAAGGCAAATCTAAAAAAAAATGTAGTATAAACACTGACAACTGGGAAACACTGGCCTGTGAGCGCTCCAGTTGGAGAACAGTCTTTACCAAAGGTGTCATGGGCTTTGAAGACACTCGAACTCAGGATGCAAGGGAGAAACGTGCTAAGAGGAAGGCACGCTTGGCAAATCCACACCGTGATCAACTCCCGCCCGGAAACCAATGTCCCCACTGTGGAAGGATGTGTGGATCCAGAATTGGCCTCCACAGTCACTTACGGACTCATTGTTAAAACTGTGTTTATGGAAGACAATCTTACTCAGCTACGAGTGATTGCCAAAGAAGAAGATGTGGAACAGTGTAACCAGGTTCCAAAGCTATGTGCTGCTTCAGAGATAAGCACCAGAACTTACCAGCATCGTGATTAGAAATGGATCAGGGGCATGTCTGAGAAGCAGCACTGACTATTAACTAGTTTGTAATTTGGCATGCGCATTTTGGACTAACCATTGTTTCTGAACAGTTTTGAAAGCCAAGCCCACTTAAGCCATATTGCAATGGTGTGATCTGAGGGTTGCCAAGGTGTGGATAACTATGGCAAGGCCATTCTGTCCAAGAGGGGTTGGAGCAGCTGGTGCACCAACCTCAATTGATATAAGATGCCCTGTTCCATGGATGCCATATAGGCTTGATCTGCCAGCATCCTCATCCTTTAGGAGAAACGCAATCCTATTAAAGCAATAGATCAAGCACCATCTTCTTGGCCAGATGAACTCCACACCAATAGTACTGTGTTTGGGCTGGTGTTTTCATCAAATACTCAGACCTTTATGATGGATTGTACTATAGCATCAAACAACCATTTCACTGTGTGTGTGGTTTCAGCAGAGCATTTCCATCCAGCCAAGATTCTCAATATGCTGACAGAGTTTGTGCGGATTGGTCCTTGCTTGAGTAGGTAGGAAATTAACACACTGCTCAGATAAATGGAGAAAAACTGAAAAAAAAGATTAAAATGGAATAATATTGGAAAAGCATTCCTAGTCCCACTGGAGCCATACAGGCTCATACTACAAGGAGCAGTATATCCATCTCCATATTTCCAGCTGTCTTCCTCATTGACTTTGGTGTGAGATGAAGTGGCCTACAAGAGAAAAATGTGAGGCTATTCAGATACTTTATGACAGAGAGAGGACACTTAATGATTGTGTCAAGTTGATTAAAAATACAATTTAAAAGAGCAAAGTCCATAGAGAGAGCATTTAAATGAGGATTTATTGTTTAGGTCAAAGTGTTTGGGTTTTGTGGTTAGCCAGTTTGTTCAAGAGAAAGAAGTGGTTTCTTTATTTTCTCTTCTAGACAGAAGAAATGGAAGGTTTTTACACCAGCTTCCCATAGAGTTTTGCCTCTGAATACCCTTTTTTGGGGGGTGGGATGCAATATTATGAAACACTTTAAGACTACTGTAATTCGATGAGGCATTAACATAAATGACTATCATCCGAGTTAATGTATTCTGGAATTACACGCCTGTGCATATATAAATAAGGCGACAAAGATAAGCAGTTTCTCATATCTTTGATTGTAATGGGCTTACACGCTGGAAACATTAGTGGGAACATATAAAATAAGATAGGAAGAATGAGTGTTTTTTTAAAAAATACGAAGAATTGGCTTAAAATGGTAATTATATTAATGAAATCATCTTATTATTCTGCTTTTTTTAAAAAAGAGAGCTTAGTACCTTGTTTCTTTCAAGTATGTTAGAAATGGCACATTCCTAAAGATCTTGTTGAGATATGCAGGGAGGAAAAATCTGGAGAGATGGCTGGCAACTGCAGGGTCCAGGGGGGAATTGAAAGAAACTTAATGTTTCCCTTTGAGGATACCAGTCTTATCTTTTCCGCTTCTAAAGCTTTTTGCTGGAGGCTAGTGGCAGTGCCCCAAAGGCGCTGTGCATGTGTGTGTGTGTGTGTGTGTGTGTGTTTGGATATGTATAGCCAGATTACTATAATTCAGAATTCTTATTCCATTACATGCTAAAGCTACAGTGTAGGAATAAAGAACCATCATTTACCCAAAGACATTATCAAAACAATACTGGAAAAGTTGGACAAACCCATCTATCATTGTGTAATTATGCAGCCAAGGCCAGGATCTATCCCACCTCATGCAAAATGTGTGGCTTTATAGGGCTCTATTATTCTCACAGCACCAAGATACCACCAGAGTCTTAGCATCCAGACCACCGTACTATTTCTACAACCACACACCACTTTATTTTAAAACCCACATCTCTGAGACATTTTGTATC